TTTTCTAAATTATTTAAATATATTATTAAATTATTAATTAAAATTGTTTAAACAAATTCATCACAGCTTTGATACTTTTAATATAATATAAACCACACATTACAGTAGGAATCTATTCCTAAATCCGAGTAAAGCTTGCTATTAATTAATATAACTATTAATATAAAGATCAAGTCTTTTACTATTATACAATCTATTTATAAAATATAAATCTTCAATAATCTTACTTTATATAATTTATTATTTCATAGACTATTTTTGTAAATTAAATCAACTTTCAATACACAGGTATTGATTAAACCTAGAAAGTAGATTATTTATCCAATATAATGTACACAATTTAGAGTACAAATTAAATAATATTTAAAAATAAGTTTTGTTTTGTGATTATAGCTCATACAAGTTGATTACATTTGTTGATGATTATTAATAAATCCAAGCAATTCATGTTTACAAGTACTATATTATAATATATTTCTTTGTATAGTTAAATTTTATAAAATCTATTAGCATACTGTATATATTCTTACATCATTTAACTTATAATATATGTAAGTTATTTAATGCAAAGATTTTTACATGAAATAAAGAAAGAATAAGATTCTTTAAAATATAAAATATAATTTTCTTTTAGTTTTTATATTTAATGTTGATAAACAGTACTGTTATTTTAGTTTTTACCAAAATTAGCATATAATTTCTTACATTATATGCATTTCTTGTATAATAGAAAAAATATTCATATTTTTGATATATTTTTTAAACAGAAAATCGCATTTTAACATAATTTAAAATGTAACATAATACATAAACAAAGGGCAAAGTATTTTTAGACAATTTTGCTTTCATAGTAACAAAATAGTTCTCATTTTCATATAATTTATTTACAAAGAAATAGTTGATATAATCATAATAATCATAATTTGTTGTCATATTGTTGTCATTTCAGTCTTAATGAATTGTTATATCTTTATTATTACATAATTACACGATTATTGTGTTAAATAATTAAATAAATTTTATTTAAAACATGGAATAAATTCTATGGAAATATAGCACAGAATAATTGGCTATAAGAATATAACTCAATCATTCTGTCAAATGTAATCGGTTTGTAAATAAGGAAATGTTATATAATATTGACATGAATTTTGTTAACGGAAAACAAGAATTGATTTATAAAGTAATTACTAATATTGCAAACAATAACATATTTGTGTTTGCAATTTGTCAACATTATGATTTGTTTAAACAATTTTAATTAATAATTTAATAATATATTTAAATAATTTAGAAAAATATTTAATACTTTATATGAAATATATTTGTTTGCAAAGTTCCGCCAAAATATCTGACAATAAACGGATCGAAAGCACTGGAAGTCCAGAATCCGTTGCATTCTTCAGGTTCTCATTCAACGAATATATTCATAGCTGAGGCTAAAGAGGGGGAGAAAATAGTATTGATTTGTTCGGCTTCTCCATCAAAACCCGTCCCAAAAATAAAGTGGTTTCGAAAGAACACTGAATTATTAGCCGGTATGAGACAAATGAGATCTTATATAAACTGTTATAAACGTGAGATGTGTTACACCGTAAAACTGATACGTGTTTTAACCTCCCCTTCAGATGCGTCCAAGACTTTAGTGAACAAAACATTAGTAAATAATCGTCACATTCTCTATACGATCGACAGTTTCCTCACTCTATACCCGAAGAATGAGGAGGAGTACAGATGTGTTGCCGAACATCCGGGTCTATCCAAGACATTGAGGGCTAGAATACTAATCAACATATTTCGTGCGCCAAACGTACCCGTAATCGATGGCTATAAAAACGGGGATATTGTTAGCTTTAATGAGAAATTAACGCTCAAGTGCAGCTCAACCAATGGCTACCCGCCCCCAAGTGTTATTTGGTTGCGAAACGGATTAGAGATAGACAGGAGTCAAACGGTGACCGCAAGACACGATGTCATCAACACATTAACATTCATCGTAACCGCCGCTGAAAACTTAGCTCAATATACCTGTCAGGCAACGAATCTCATGACTCCCATCCCATTAACACAAACTATTACTTTAAGTGTCTTATGTAAGTTGTAATCAATTCACACAATTATATTTGTAATATATTCCCCAATCGTCCAGTCCTTCCGGCGAAGATCTCAATCGTGGGTCCAAACGAAGTGCCATTAATTGAAACTAAAGGTATTCCTAACACACAATACTCCTAATAATCTAATAATATATTGGTGTTATAACTTATAAGATCATAATATTATTATCTTATTATTTTTAATGTAATACTGTCTAACTTTACGTATAATTAATTGTTATTAACTTAAAATTTAGATATTTCTCTTTTGTTATAAATTCTCTGAAAATAAATAATTATTAATAAAATTTACAAATAATTAGCAAATAGTTAGCATTCTATATAAAGGGCTCATTATTTATCTGTTTATGATATGAGTTGTCGTATAATTTATGACACTTAACTGACAGTTAATAATATAAACTATTCTGTTTACTCTTATATAAGATTATTATCCCTGCTGGTAATTAGACTTCACATGCCGTATAGGCCGTAGAGGAGGAGGTAAGCTCTGGTTTAACTTATGGTTTGTCGATGACATCGAAATTACTTCGACCGACGAGCACATGGATGTCATCAAAAAGGATAATAACAGTTGGATTGTGAGCTCAAACTTAACATATACTATCACACGAAAAGAGCCAAATACTATCAGATTCAAGTGCATAGGTATGTGTTATTCCTAATGTTTTGTAAGTTCAAAAAGGCATTAAATTCTGTATAATCTGTAGTATTTATTTTTACAATAACTCTAAGGAACAGAATTTTGACTAGTAATTATTATTTAAAAATATTTAGTTTAACAAATTTTCACTTTATATAAGTTTTAATGTTTAAGCACATTATAAGTTTTTATTTTTAAAATGTTGATATTGTAATTTTTATGAATGTAGTAAAGCAAACTTGAACAATGAATAGATTAACGAGTAAAATTTAGCAGCACAACTAAAACTAAAATAAAATACTGCAAAATACAAGATAATAATTGAAATTTGAGAAAATAAATGTTTGATTAAACGATAATCAATAAACAAATTTGGACCAAACATCCAAACATTATATGTCTGTTGTATAGGATATACGTCTGCAATGAAAGAGGAGAGCGTATCAGCCGTTCATAAAGTGAATGTTATTCGTAAGTATTGCAGTCATAGACATAAGTTATAAGAATATTATGCTATCAGTCCTTATGCACCGAAGTATGCAATATATTGGGTTTAAGTCTGTTTAGTATTATTGTACTGTATATACAATAGGGTTTTATGAATACTAAACCCAATAGATATGAAAATGGGATTCAATTTTAGGACACAATTTCGGGTTGGAGTAGACGTCCAGTGGTTTTGGTTGCTTAGCATTGAGTCGATCAACAAATTCCGAGTTTATCACGAAATAAAAAATTACAAACCAATATAAAAAAATTTTTAGTCCTTATCTTTTGAATATGTTTTAAAATGATGGTTTGGTTGGAGAAAGGGATCAGAATTGGGATCGCATTTTGGGAGTCTATTTGATTACCACTTTTAGCATACAATATATGAATACAATATTTGAATGAATAGTAAAGAGTCTTTAGAAAAGTATTCAATGTTGTGATAAGTTTTCCGCTTTTTTTTGTATTCAAAGGCATTGAATGTATTGAAGGCAGTGGTAGTGATTTCTGAGATATGATTTATGGCATGACTTTAATACAAACATTGCTTCGGCAGACGCACCGGATTTGCCAACTCTTCTGGGAATCAAGGATTCATGGGTTTCAGTGGTGGCGGGAAATCTCCTCAAATGCAAATGTGTCAGCTATTCAGGCAATCCGAGGCCACACTTGATTTGGCTTAACCAGTACAACCGCGAAGTACGGCTTCCAGTTATCCCAGTTATACCAGTTATCCCAATAATCGCCGTCACAATCGTCTTCATGTGATTAATTGCTTTTGTTTTTGCCATTAGATTAGCGCCATCTCATCACTCACAGGAAGTGGTGTGTCCTCTGAGTTAGTGATCAGAGCCGAGCCTCAAGACAACGGCCATACATTCAAATGTCGTGTTTTGCATCCAGCTCTTGACAAACCCTACGAAATCTCATTTAAATTAACGGTTTATTGTAAGCCATTGTCTTATGTTTCCTATAATTATTATGATTTATTGTGTCGATAGTTATGAGACACACAATGTATTCATGAAATGTATTCACAGAATAAGTTGTGTCGAGAAGTAGTGATACGTTGTTTGCATAGCAATGATACCCATAATAGCTATGATAGCAATGATAGGCCGCTATTGAAGTCATCGATTTGTTGATCCACTCTTTTTTGGATGACTTTGGGGTGCAATCAGTCACGTGAATGACATTAAATAAACAGACAATAAAATTGTTTCTCTTTGATTGCCTTAAATTGTGAGATGAGATCCATTGGAGACAAGCAGCGAGTCTTACAATTGAATGAAGGGATAGAAAGTGCTTTCACTCACTGGTCAGTGCTATTAGTGATGGGAAAGTAAGTCGAGTGTCAGACACAACCTTCTGATGGGTTCACCTGCTGTTCCTTACTCCCGATGTTATACACTGTGTTATATTCGTTAATATACGGTCTCAACAGCCAGAATCGTAAACTAAGAGTAACGACAAGGGTATGATACCGTGACATACATACCGTGACATACATACCGTGACAGAGGTGATATAAAAACCTTATCGGCTCTAATGATTAATGGTATGCCAGGGCTGACACTCGGAAGCAGTTATGATAAAAAGAGTGGCGATTATGGCACTGTATGTATGGCACTGTATGTATGGCACTGAGAGGTGATATAAAAACCTTATCGGCTCTAATGATTAATGGTATGCCAGGGCTGACACTCGGAAGCAGTTATGATAAAAAGAGTGGCGAACACATCGAAAAACACGGCATCGCTTCCATGCATTCAATTTTATGCATTACTTACTGATAGAGCGCTTGTCGTTCACTCCTATGACTCCCATCCACTGCCACTGTTATCAAAAACACTATTTTATTCAAGAATAAATTGTATAAAAACGTTGGTAATCTAGGTGGCTTTGTACAGAAGTAACACAACGGCGGCTAATAATTCCTTTTGCTATCGCATTCATGAGGAAGACTACTTTTCTCCACTTTTCTCTTGTTTTTTGTTTTAATTTTCTGTCACTTCTAAATGACTTTTTGTTTCGAAAGAGTTATACAATTGAATGCTAAGTCAGAGTAATTGAGAGAAATATGTCTAAAAGTGAGTTCCACTCAGACTTTATAAGTTGTCATAAATATTAAACACAAATATTGCGGAAAGGGATCGATATGATTGTGTGGTTCACTGTTCACTCAATGGTATGTATGGATGCTTAAAGACAGTGTTTGTGCAGTAAATCATGATTTTAGAGACCATACCTAATCACAAATGCTGGAGTAGTATCGCAATGACATCTAATGAACTCTTATCTTATGGACAATATATCTATTCTAATGATTAGATACGGGATATTGTGTGTCATTTTTGAGACCAACTATGTTTGTCTCAATGCTAATGTAGCAGTTGACAATAGTTTTTGTGATAAAATAAGTTCTTATTTAACATATTTTTGCAACCATTAGATCCACCGAAACATGTCTTCATTGTGTTGCCGCCGATTATTAAGGAAAACGATAGCGTAAGTACTCCTTCGCTACTTCTTTCACCACTTCTCTCCACTTTTCTCTTGTTTTTTGTTTTAATTTTCTCTCACTTCTAAATGACTTTTTGTTTCCAATGAGTTATACAATTGAATGCAAAGTCAGAGTAATTGAGAGAAATATGTCTAAAAGTGAGTTCCACTCAGACTTTATAAGTTGTCATAAATATTAAACACAAATATTGCGGAAAGGGATCGATATGATTGTATGATTGTGTGGTTCACTGTTCACTCAATGGTATGTATGGATGCTTAAAGACAGTGTTTGTGCAGTAAATCATGATTTTAGAGACCATACCTAATCACAAATGCTGGAGTAGTATCGCAATGACATCTAATGAACTCTTATCTTATGGACAATATATCTATTCTAATGATTAGATACGGGATATTGTGTGTCATTTTTGAGACCAACTATGTTTGTCTCAATGGTAATGTAGCAGTTGTTGTCATAATCAACGAATAAAGAGATTCATTGGTTATGTGAAAACGACAGACAGAAATAGGACAAGAAGTTTATGTACAGTAGTGTAGAGTAGAGTAGAGCTGATGTTTGGGCCAATTGTCGACTTTAAGCGCAAATTCTGTTTTGTATGTCATTTAGACATAAATTCTTTGATATCTTAATGATTACATGGAATACATGAACGAATAAGTTATGGTTAATGTGTTTTGTCTTTTGAATGATTCACTCTTTTAGACCATTAAACGAATGGTCCGAAACTCATAAGCAATTAATTTTTGTAATTTAATTTCCAGACATTAAAGCCATTAAATGATTTTCTGACTTTTATTTCTTATTGTTGTTGATATTCTTATGTTGTTTTTCTATGCAATTCTCTTTAATTGATTTGCAAAAAAGCAGGTCAAAGTAGAATGCCATACCAGTGCCAGTAATCCCGGAGCTGTGATTACACTACTGAAAAACGGCAAGAATATGAGGGCTCTATCACAAGAATTGTATTATAATAATAGCAGTGATGCGGAAAACTATCAAAACATAAGTGTCGCTAAAATAACCAAAAGCTTTGCGACAATTGTTGTGTCGGTTGAAGATAATGAAAGTGTTATAACATGTTTAGCGACAAATCCTGTCATATCTGAAGGTAACTACTTTTGTCAACGTCTGATGACCTGTTATTCCCTTTTATCACCAAATGCTTATACAGTATAATATACAGTACACTACACTATACACTGATAACACGTTACTATAATATGATATTTATATATAATTATTATATTCAATGAGATTTCTGTTTGTTTCTCTGTATTAATACACGTCTCAGGAGTGGTCAGAGCGGATGAGGTGTTGTCTGTCTATTGTAAGTCATTCTCAGTATTGATTTAATTTTCAATCCCTGTTTAAACCATTTATTTCTCTCAAATATGAAGTTAAGCCACGATTCGAGGGCTGGGAGACGCACCTGGAGCTCAACGAATTCGAGAATAAAGTGGTAAATCTATCCGCAAAAGCAAATCCTCCAGTCGTTAGATACTCGTGGAAATACGTTCAGAAATTTGGGTCCAATAGCGGCCATAGAAATGGTCTCAACGATGACTACTCCTTATCGTTGAATAGATCTGAAGAGCTGTCAGAACTGGGAACTAAGGGCTCCATCCGAGCGCAGGGATCACTACTTTATATAACTAATGTATCGCGAGCTGACTCCGGATTATATGTGTGCATCGCTTCCAACAAAATAGGAGATTCCAGCGCTTCCTTACTTCTCGATGTATTTTGTAAGACGAGATATAAATTACTTTTTCCCTCTTTTATTTGGCGCACAATAACCGACCCTTTACTCGAATTTCATATTTAAATTCAGATCCCACTGCTATCGTGAGCCTTAAAATTGTCACACAACATGACAGCCCCGTTCCCCGCGAAGGGGACTCTTATTTTCAATTACACTGTAAAGTGGACTCAAATCCAGTGACAAAAGTCAAATGGAGGAGAGAAGAGACCGACAGCGATGAGAATATCGATTGGTTTAGAGCTAAGATTGATAGCAATAACCAAACGTCTAGTAAATCACCGGTCGATCAAATTCTTACATTTTTCAATATCACTCGATCTGACGCCGGAGTCTATACCTGCTATACATTGCGAGATATGAAGCAAATTATAGTTAACGTTATGTTTAAGCCGACGATCATTAGAAATAACCTGAAAATAGCGGCTGATATCGGAGAAACTCAAAGCATTAAATTTGTTTGTTTAGCCAATGCTTACCCTTATGTGCACTTCAATTGGAGCTCTAATAATAAGGATATTATATCAGACAATAAGTTTGTAATCATTGAAAGCATTGAAGACAGTGCTAACCTTTTTAGGAGTGAATTAATTATCAATCGTTTAAATGAAATGGATTTTAAAACGTTTAAATGTATGGCTTATAACGAGTTGGGAAGCGATGAAGTGATCTTTGAAGTCGTCAAGAAAAGTGAGTATCAATTCAATTCATACAGTATTTCTACCGTATATATATTTTCTATATATTCTTTATATTCATAAACTGAATGCCTCAGCAGAATTCTCTCTCTCTCTGTCTGTCTGTCTCTCTCTCTCTCTCTCTCTCTCTCTCTCTCCCTTGTTATTGCTATCAATCTTAGCTCTAAACCAATCGATATTCTCATCGCTGTCGATCTCTTCTCTCTCTCTCTCTCTTTCTGTGTGTGTGTCTGTCTCTCTCTCTCTCTCTCTCTCTCTCTCTCTCTCTCTGCTTATATTTCTTTTTGCGCTTTTGTGTCATTTTCTAATAATTGATTGAATAACAGATTTTCCCGAATCTCCAACCAATCTGAGGACAATGAATGTGAGCCGTAATTCCGTTGTTATCGCATGGGATCCCGGCTTTGATTTTGGTTACGAACAGAGTTTTCGTATCAGATATCGAAAAGTGGGCCCAAAGCCAGCAAATGTTGAACCTGCTCAATTCAAGTATATTATTGTGAACAACACATCTAATGCGGTGTTAATTACAAACTTGGATGCGGACACTGAATACCAGTTGAGTATATCGTCTCGTAATAGACTCGGAGAAAGTCTAATGAGTAGAGAGTTTTTAAATGTGAAAACTTTAGCCAATGTTTCAAAACGAAAATCAGAAACAGTGTTGGCTTCGGCTGATGAGCAAAGACTGGGATATAATAATCAACTGATAAGTGAAGATATTATTGAACTCTCAGTCATTGTTTCGGCTTTAGTTATGTTTGTGTTTAGTATGTCTTCAGTATTGATATGTTGTTATAGAAAACGAAAGACACGACAAATCATACAAAAGAAGTCCGACTCTAAAGATATGTCTTCAGCTAATAGTGCAGCAGAAGATCCACTCTTTACTATCAGTGCGTCCACAACACTGGAGAGTAGTTGTCGTTTGGATACCACTTTCCTCCACCAGCCCAGCAATGATAAGTGCCTTTACAGTGAAAATAGAGGTAATTTATTGAACCATTTCTCAAACTATTGATTCCCATATAAATAGCCAAAAAGTAGAAACTTTGTTACAAACAATTGTTTTCTCAAATCGTTTTAGACTCTTTTGATGACTTTGGTATCAATAAAATGTCGCAAAATTTTCTCTTTAATACACAACCAGATATACTCATTATAAACCAGGTACGTGCTAAATTAAATTTGTTTCATCACCAATATTCTTGTCATCAATTTATTACATTTCTTCCTATAATAATAATATATTGAATATTCTGTTTGTGTTATGAATACAAAGGCTTTAAAACACAACGCTTAGAGAATTTGAGTGATTTATTCAGTGATTTTCAAAAACAAATACAGTATATGTAATGCAAACTCTATTCTAAGGGTTAACAGAAAATATTGAAAAATGGTGTGAAAATGTAAAATGAATTCTGAATTTTGATGAACTTTTATCTAAGCAATAAAGTTATAGCAATGAGTCGATCAATAGCTTACTTGTATAGTAGGAGTGGAGTAAGATTTGTATGGCTTTAACGGTTTGAAAGAATCCGAGAACTTATCACTTATTTAATGGAAACCAATGATGAGATTTCTTTAATCAAAAGAAATTACACTCAAAAGTATACTTCTTATTGACATTTCTGTGTAAATATTTTTATATACCATATTTAATTCATTTTATTAGAGATTTTCATCAAATGATTTTCACGTATTGATGCCAAATGGTATTCAATTCCAAGTGTTTGGTGGTGATTGATAATATGTTATATAGTTTTCTATGAATTCAATGCTTAGATAATGTCATTCTTGACTACAAGTAAATGTTTTCTCGCTTTATATTCAGCGTGTATTTGATCCAAAAATACAATTTTAACTTTTCTTTATAATAAAGTTAATGAGATTCATGAGTATTTATATTATATAAGACTTTTGTATTTGAACGTCGAAAAGACAATTATTTTCTTAGCCATGCATAGGAACTGAAAACAATTTTAACATTTTATATGTCAAATGGTTTGGAATGAAGTAAATCCACAGGAATTTACTTTTTGATTATATTATTAAGTATTATATGTTTTCCTATATATTTTGTCTTCTGTTGAAAATTTAATTTTATTAATGACCTGATAATGATATCTACACTCATATATAAAAATCAAATGCAAATAAAAATGAATTTTCTTTATTTAATTTAATCATAATTAGATAGTCAATTTATTTTGTTTGTAACTTAATTAATATAAAATGCGCTTAAAAAGTCTTATTCTGTATTTGCATTATCAAGACTAATAGTTATTGATTTGGCACAACATTTCTACAGTTTTACAGTCGCGTGCAAAATATGCAAAAGCATTGTATTTTTGATTATAAAATAAATAGGATTTATATTTATTTGTTATTCTTGTGTTTTAAAGTATCCTCTTTAGTGTACAGTATATTGTGTGAGATATAAATCAAGTTTATTATGTGTTTTCCTATCAGTTTAAGTGAGAATACTTTCGCACAAATGATAAGAATTGAATGCATTCACAGTTTTTGCTTAAATAGGGAGCAGAATATTACAATAAATTAGAGTATTATCTTAAGTCGAAACAATTCATACTAAATCTTCTGAGTTAAAGTTTTATTGAATATTTAATAAAATTGAAATATTTTTTTGTTTGAGGACTAAAACAATTTTTTAGAAGGCATAATTTTTTAAATAAAAGACATAAGATTACATATTTGTTTTATTAAATTTTAAATTAGTTATCATTTTGTTAAAGGAGTTGTCATTAAACCAATTTGAATACAATTACAATCATTAAAGGAATCCATTTTTGAATTTAATATTTTAAAGTATTATGTTTCAGAATTACCGTATATTTTATTGATATACAGTATTTGAAAACTTTTGACAAAATTTTTTATTTCAAAGATATGACAAAAATAGATTTCCCTCTCATCCGATCAATAATCTAATATAAAAACATTTCTAATGATAAAGCTTTTTAGAAAGTAATCACTAATTTTTTTATAATGATTAAGTTTATCTTACTGTATATACCTACGGTACTTAGTTAAATTAAGTTCTCATTTTTATTTTGAAATATTGGTATTAATGATTTATATAAATGTTTATACCTTATATCTTATTTAATCCTTCACTGTATATCTATTTGTCATATTATTTTTATTTAGAATCTACACTGTATTAAATATTATATTTTTGAAGTGATCATTTTGTAAATATTTTCAAGTTTTAAATTTATAGTTTAGCTTCTCAACAGTGGTTTATAATTTTTTTTATATAATACAATATATTAAATATAATTTATGTTTAACATAACTCAACAAATGTGTTACATAATAATTTTTACAATTAACTTTAAGACTGCATTGAAAAATTTTACTATACAGTAATTAGAGGATTAAATATTGATATTATTGATTGATTTTTATAAAGATTTTATATAATTTATGTTATATTTATAGCAAAGATATTACTCTTAAAAATTCATTTTCTAAAAAACTTCATAAAGTGAGCTTCATTAATGTCAAAGTTTTATAATATATGTAAATAATATCTAATTTATTATATATTTTTAGATATATTTTGTTCACTTGATTTTAAAAATACATTGAGTTTAAGAAAAAATATTAAATATCAAATTTTAATGAAGCAAATATAATTTATTTAGCAAAAACTTATTATTAATATACTGTACTCTGTAGTCTATAGTACTGTGGAGTATTTAGAGTTTATTGTTTTTTAAATAATGAAAAACCTAAATCAATGCTGACTTTGAAAGACATAGTAAATTGATTTTTGGCATATGCTTTGAGTAAATGCAAAATTATGTGAATTGAC